GCGTTAACACGTGTTCCAACCTCGGCTGCCGCAGCCGTTGCACCGCGAGGGACCCGGCGATCAAGCTTGGCCGTATATGGAATGAAAGCTGAAGTTGCACCATACAAAGGCGGATTTAAGGACATCTGCTTCCGCAAATTTCTTTGACCTACATTTATTGGCGCACTCACTGTTTTGGACAGCGACTGAGGGACCTGGTGCCACTGGCGTACGGATCTGCGTAGGCATACTTATCAACGAGTATGGGCAGCGTAGATAAAGGGACAACTATGCTAGGGTGCTGATGATTCTGTAATGAATGTGATTTCCTTCCCAAATAATTGTTCAGACGGGGCAGCGAAAGGTCCGACGAGTATATCGAAGAGCGTTCCAAAAAAAAAAGACGCAATGTGCTTCCGATCGCAGAGTGGTAATCGGTGCTGACGGCACAGTTCCTGAAAATGGCTAAAATAACAACACAATCTAGTGGAAAACGTGCTCACCCACGTAATAACCACAGTGGAAGTCTGCGAATGTGGTTTGGAGAGGCTGGCTGGCTCATAATCCCATTCCGAGCAAGCTGTCGGACTTTTAGCTGACTAAGCAAGTTGCCGGAAATCCCGACAGCTGCCCACAAAACGGACATAAAGGGGCAAGAGGGTCCGTTATCCCTTCACGCGGTCATTGATTAGTTTCCCTCTCGCTACTCGGATTGCCTGCCTTATCCTATCGCTTGTGACATTCTGTCAACGTTTGTACTCGTTCGCACCAGCTTCGCCGTTGGCCTGCGCATATCGTATCCTTACTTCTGCGATTGTCAATTTCACTTCATCTCGCCGCGCAAAATCAGACCTATCTGAAAATGAGCACAGCCCCTTGGAACGTTGGTGCCAACGCCCCTCGCAATGGACCTGGTTCGACTCCACTTGCTTACCAGCCAGCGCAAGCCAAAATTGTAACCGGCGGGGATGGGTTTGCGCCCAACCCAATCAAGCCGTACCAAGCTCAAAACGAGCTTGACCGCCTTCGCATGGGAAAGGAGCTCATTCCAACACCTGCCTCTGACGGTGCTGGTCAAAACGGATACGCCACTATTTCAAACTCTACCTCTCAAGGTCTTGTCCCCTCGGGATGGGGAGGTATTAACCCGGCAGCCCGCGAGCACTCCACAACGACTGAGGCTAGCGAAGCAGCCCAGCACGCTTATGCGCAGCTGCAGAATGCTGGAAGCATCGGTGGCGGTGCTGGATATAACTCACAGCAGCAAGGATCGGTTCTATCCTCTCGCCATGCACAACCTTACAATGCGAGCACCTCTCTGCAGGCCACCGAGGGCTCCCGCGGCAAGAGCGGCGAGAGCCACCGTGCTGGCACTACTTACACCCAAGTCAATGGCGACCCTCAAACGCACACAGTAACGCTCAGCACCACGACTTACCAGCCAAGTGGATCGAACCTGGTCCAGGCTGTCGACACTTACACATACCGTCGCCCCGAGACCACCAACGGCGAGTACGGCAACTTTCCCCGCCGCGGACACTCTGAACACGTGGTCGAGAGTGGAAACGGCTCTAATGGCTCGGCTAACCTGTTTGCTAATGGCGGCAAGATTGTCAAGAATGGTGACAAAATCGTGCCCCTTGGAGGCCCCGGGTAAGCCAAGTTAATTTTTGACAGCGCTGAAATCAAAAATTTAGCAAGTCCGGCGTTTGAGAGCTTACACAAGTTATGACATCAACTTTAGATCTGCGGAGGAGCGTCCCGGACTGGCGCGGCACGGGGGCATCACTGCTTGAGTGCATATAGGTAATTCGCGTACACAACTCGTATCTCTACCCCGCCTCTTGATCATCCGGCTAATGTCTACGCCCTGTTGCCGCTTTCCCCCACGTCATCTCAAGACTCTTTGATTTGACGATGCAAAATTGGGTAGAGGAGAACTGACTTTCCGAGGGGAACACAATGTGCTTGTGTGTGTAGTAAATGGCAGGGTGAAATAATACGGAATATTTTAACAGGGCCCTATGTCCAAACGTCAACTCTGCGCCCCACAGGTAAAAAAAGCATGCGATTTGGTCTTTACAAATCAATCCTCGCAGAGGCCATGTTTATGCATGCAGTTCCATCTATGCCTTGGTATGAGGTATAAGGGGCAGCATTATAATATCTGTGGTCCCTTCTCTGGTCAACGGGAAGCCTGGGACAGCGCTCATCCTATTCCTAGGTGGAGGCCCTTTGCAAAACCAACAAGGGTGCTGCGACAGCCCAGCAAGATCATCGCATCGCATTTGGTGAGCTGCCCAGCAGGACGACTTTATTGTATAGTTGCGCCGCAAGTCCACTTTGCTGTCACAAGCGCTTCTCCTTGGCATACAAAAAGTCTGCTTTAAAAAATCTAACGCTGCTGACGTGTGGCAGGAAGTTGCCATGAGCGCACCGTCGCACGGTCATAACCCTCTCGATATTCTCGCCGATGTTGCGGACCACGAGAAGCCGCTACAACTGAAGTCTCCGAGTAGTACAGGGCCTCCAGGGACTGGCGCCTTGCATTCTGCCGATGGCGATGCTGGCTCCGGCGCTGTGCAATTGAGCAACCCAGAAAACGCTTCGGCGCTCACACAATCGCAATCTGCCACGCACCTATATCCGGAAGACGACGATGAAATGGCTCTCTTCTCCGCTGAACCGCCAAGAATGGCTCACGGCTTTGAGACGCCGCCTAACGCCGAGGAAATGGATGCCATATTCGCAGACATGCAGCCTGGCTTGTCAGAATCATTGACTATTGATCCAAGTCACGCCGAATTGCTGGCCGATCTCGATGCTTTGGAATCGTCACAACCTGGGGATCATGATGTATTTGCAGACGATTCCGGTCTTAATTCGCAAGACGGGCAGGAAGGAGCAACTTCTAGCCCGAAACCCACAATAGCTCGGGAACCGCCGGCAGCAGCGCTTGTTCAAATCAAAGCGGAACCGGAAGAAAGCCGTGGCAGCACTGCTTTACCGCCTTCATCTTCAGCATCGCACCGCCCGACATCTTATGTCCCGCCGGCAAATATCTCTACGCCAGCCGCAAATCCCATAGCTGCCCAGGGTAATCCAACGCGACCTCCAACCCATTCGAGAGCACAAGCGCCCGCATATGTTTCAACAGCCAATCCAACGCCCACGCCGCATGCAGCTAACCCTGCACAAGTCATAGAAGGTCTTCTTAAGCAAGTCCCAGTCGAAAAGCATAATGAATTTCGAAATCTTTACGCTCAGCTGCAAAATAAGCAGCTTTCCGCCGATGAGTTTACTGCGCGCGCCAAGGACATGCTCTCTCTGCCGGCATCTGCCCCGTCCGCCGGGAGGCCACCGTTTGGCATGCGGTCGTCACCTTTAGTAAGGCGATCGCATTGCTTTTTCGCTGAACGGGTAATTGCAGGCTAATTCTCTGCTCCTTAGGTCTCCTCCACAAGTAATCATCCATCAGCTGGCTCAGCATTCCGGCAACAGCAATACCCACCAAATTTTGGGTATGAGCCACGGCCCTCCGGTCCCCTGACATGAAACACTAGCTGATCACTTTGACATTTTTTTGCAGAAAACCCACTTCGCAACATAATCGGATTCCGTCGGGCTCATATAGGTCAAATACGCAGACTCTTCCTCCTCAACATTGTAAGCCAGTGGAACTTGGCCAAACAATCGTGTAATTTACGACGGCAGTCTGACCTATTTTTCAATTACAATAGTGAGACAAATGCAGGGCACTCCTATGTCTGGTCCCAGCAGAAACGGCCAGGACATTGAGGGAAGAGTTGATGTAACTGACATGATGGACGTGACGAGCTACGCGGGCGTCAATATGCGTGAAGAGGAAGATAATATCACCAACTCGTTCATGACTGGGGCGCCCCTCTATCAACATCACTTGGCCGGCGGCGCCAGCCGGCTCAAAGACCAGTCCTTTCTCAACATAGCTGGATTGAAGAAAAAGGTCGATGCAATCGCGCGGGCGGCAGATGTCCCCGAAGTCGACCAGGACCTGCTACCGTACCTCGCGCTTGCAGCCCAGGAGCGCATGCGAGATTTGCTTCAGCGAATGGTCCAGGCTGCGAAACACCGCACCGGCGCTCTGCATGAGCGGTTTTTGCGAAATGAGCGCGAATTGCTCGCAAAGGGCGAAGAGGCATTGGAGCTGCAAGTCGTTACGAGAGGCGATCCTCGGAAAGCACTTGCAGGTATAGAGAAGAGGGAGCGAAATCAAGAGCTGAGGCTGCGTGCCGCGAAGGAGGCGGCGATGGGAATGGGAGCTGACGGTGGAGTCGGCGTGGGCGGAGGTGGAGATGGGGATAACCCGGGAGGCGGCGATGACAGCGCTGTACAAAAAGCAAAGAAACGCAAAACCGTGCGGGACAAGGATCTTCCAGAACACATTCGACTTGAGCGAGCGAATGCTGCACTGTCACAAGCGATCGGCGGAGGATACATCAAAAGCTGGATGGTTGCGGGCGCGGGCGCTGGAAGCGCTGGGTCAACGCCAGGCGCAACTCCCGGCGGCCTCAAGGTCGTGCCATCACGGAAACGGAAATCTGATGGCGGCGATGGACAGTCCAGTGGACTCTCTGGTACCTACTCTGGCGTGCGGCTTCCCGGGTCTGGCCGACGCGGGGCCGGCGGGACCGAGCCTGCAGCGAGAAAAGTGATTTTAAAAGATGCGCTTTTCTGCCTCGAGGGAGAGCACGCTATGGCAAAAAGCCTTGTGACCTATAAGTGGTGGGCCAATGTAACATAATATCATTGTATTTTCGGCTTTTGAGCCTCGCCACTGCTTACACAAAAGCGCCCTCGATTTAACTGGTTCACGGTTTATTCCCAAAACGTTTGCTCATCGCGTGATTCGGCGGCTTTCAACCCTGCGATTGAAGGCAGTTGACCCTAAGGCCAGAAAGAAGTATTCAATGCTTTTATTGGCCCACTCTAAATTCTAAGTACCGTAGGATGACAACTACTAAAAAAGAAAAAAAGAACATTGCGAAGTGGGAGGATCGAACTCCCGACCTTGAGATTATGAGACTCACGCTCTGCCAACTGAGCCAACTTCGCTTCATGTCTTTTCGTCCAAAGGTTTTATCTATGTTAGTAAAACTTTTAGACATCCCGTCTGTAGCAACGTTAAAACACTAACGGCTGGGCTGTCTTTCGCTCTGACGTTCTACATTATCGGCTCAGCTCCCATATCTCACACGCTCTGCCATACTGTCACGTTTGACACTAATTTTCCGCGCTGTCAGCTCGTCACGGGAGAGGACTCAGTGCGACAGTGAGACACTCTGACAGCAGGCTACGAGAGAAAGTTTGATAGTCGCGCGAGAGAGCAAAGGCAACCGACAGCAGGTGAGAGAGGATAGAGGGAGAAAAAGTATGTCGCTTTATATCTGGTCAACCTGCGAAGCTTTCTACTGATCTATGCGGGAGGCATGTTTAAAATGAGTATGGCTAGACTGGCTGATTCCCGCTTTCCGAGATAAATTTTAAAACGTTGGTCGCCCAGCTGATCCACAAGCGACCTGTTCGTTTGTGCAGCAACTTGCAGAAAGGGCATATCTTTATGTTTGTAAAATGCTAACTCACTAATGAAGGGCCACCTGATGCGATTTGTGTTGTAATTTGGCTCCCAAACTCGAGGCTCTGAGCGTAGGCCATGCTTTCGACGCAGATATCGGTCACGAACCAAAGACGCTCAGGACCTTGCGTATGGCAGCCAAATTACCCCAGGGGCCGAGACAAATCGCATCCGACGGCTCCTGCTACACGTGAGTCACCGCGAAACTTGTCTTCCCACAACGTGTCCAGGAATGATTCTGTCGCCGCGGCTCAAGAACAATGCTCGGCTGCCCGCGGTGCTGTCCTCTGTCCACGGCAAAGAGGTCAATCTTGCGCAGCTGGTGCTTGAGTGTGTGGTGATAGTCGTCACGCTGAAAGTATGCCAGGGCAATGAGGCGCGCCATGTCTGGACCGGGAACATTCACGCCTTCTCGTTTTGTTCCTTGGTTTCGTTCTCCTGCAGGCACCGTGGTGTCCGGTGTGTCCTACTCTGCTCAAGGTGCTATCTTTTCTTGGCCTCGAGCAGCCGACCGGCACTCGTCACTGGACAGACCCGTTTACTTCTAGCACGCGCCACGTCTCTGCTCAGAACCAACGGTTCAATCACCTTTTGCTTACACGAGACGCTCACTTTCTCATCCTGTGCCCGGGCTCAAACGAGGCACTGGCCGACATTGCCTGTGACATAGGTTGGGATAATGTTCCCAACGCCTCTTTTGTTGCCGATGTGGACTGGTCCCTCATCGATGGTCTTGGCCTCCGAATGGCGGCAATGGGCGCCTGGCCTGCGGCCCTTCGCTTGCGGGCCGATCTGAGCGTCGAGACAATCAAAATTGGAAGAGGTCCCGGATTTTACGGCGATCATGAGCTTATGGCGGCGCTGGCAATGATAAGAAATGAGGAAGAGCTGCGCGCGCTGTCGGCGCTGAAACAATCTCGGATAATGCGCAAGAAGCTTCAGCTTGCATGCTTGGCCGCTACTCGATATGACCACCCCGCGCGAGATAGACTCCCTATTGAGCTTCTGCGTGCAATTATGGAAGCTGTCGCGAGGGACGACCTTGCGACATGCTTCTCGACGACGGCGGCAGAGTCACCGGTCCGTCCACCAGCTCTTATACCGAATTCCTCGACCTTCTGTGCTGCAGCTCTTGTATGCAAGTCATGGCGCTATGTTGCACTTTCTACTGCTCTGGAGATTTTGCAAGCGCAGACGGCCAGCATGGAATCCATGCTTGCACATGATTCAGCATCGGGCCACCCTACTTTCTCCCGGGGTGATTCTGACGAGAAAAGTTTGCCGACGTCTCCGGTTCTGCGTCTTCGGACGGAAGTCAACCAGCTTATTTGCATCAAGTGGTGGCTACACAACATATTTGGAAACGTAAGCGATTTGAATCCGGCAGTGCAGCAGCCGCGCGGTTCTGGGACGCGCAGCGTCAATGATGCGGAGGTGGCTCTTTGTGCTTCTTAAGTGCTATTCGTATGGAGCTTTGGTCATTCTAATACATGTCTATTTGAAGCTGTCGAAAAATACCTCGCAGAATTTTGGAGCCAGTGGCTGTGCATGCAATCATAGCGCTTCTCCTCTCTTTGTGCTGGTTTTTTTTCCATAAAGCATTTTGCCATACAGCGTCCAAATGCGGAGCCTCTTCCTCTTAAGCGAGACCCGTGCGGCGCTCTTTCCCGCAGGCGCAGCCGGGTCCGATGGCTCGCGCGCGCTAACCACAATCGATACAGAGACTGATGCTGCGTTCATTTCGAGTGGCTCCGCGGCACGCAGCACCGTATACCGTGTCGCGTCCGACAGCTCTGTGGCCGAAGTCGCTAGCTTCCCAAACGAGACCTACGAGACGTCAGCACCGTATGAAATTGTCGGGCTACAATATCTGCCAGAGTTGCAGGCACTGTGCGTCATGCTTGCTGGAGGCGACATTGTGCTCATTCGCACTGACGACGTGCGCGACGGCGACTTTGAGAACCTCCCACAGGAAATTGTTGGGACGGTTGATTCGGGTATTCTGAGCATGGAGTGGAGTCCGGACCACGAGCTAGTCATCATCGTTACGGGAACGGGGACCTTGTTGGAGATGACCAAAGACTTTGACGTTATCACGGAGGTTCCCATTCACGTTGAGGCCACGGGCGACGCGACGCAAGTCAACGTTGGCTGGGGCCGAAAAGAGACACAGTTTCACGGCTCGGAGGGCAAGCAGGCTGCACAAAAGGCAGCGACTCCGCTCACTGGCAAAGTGCTATCCGACGCCGACGATATGCGACCGCGGATATCATGGCGTGGGGATGGCGCCTTTTTCGCATGCTCCGCGGTTGATCCAAACGGCGAACGCCGCGTCGTGCGAATGTATGACCGCGAGTGTGTGCTCCAGTACACGAGCGAGCCAGTACCAAAGTTGGAGCACGCGCTGTCGTGGCGTCCGTCAGGGAATCTGATTGCAGCAACCCAGCAGCTTCCACACCGGCACGACGTGGTCTTCTTTGAGAAAAACGGCCTTCGTCATGGGGACTTTGCGTTGCGGGACAAGAATGCTGTTGTGGTTGAGATGACATGGAACCTCGACTCGACGGTACTGGCTATTTGGCTCATGTTTCCAGAGGCGGAGGTTGTATCCTCTTGTGTGCAACTTTGGTCCATGATGAACTACCACTGGTACTTGAAGCAAGAGATTCGCCCAACTACGCAAGGCGACAGCATCGCTGGCGTAAACTGGGACCCGGAGCGGGCGCTCCGGCTGCACATCGCAACGCTGAGCGGTCTCTATCGGCGATTGGATTACGCGCCCGACAACTTTGTCAGCAGCTCCCTTGCGAGCGATAACCCGGCTACTGTTGCCGTTATTGACGGGGCATCCTTGCTCTTGACGCCCTTCAGGCATTTGAATGTCCCGCCACCGATGAGCGCTCTGCAGCTCTCACTGCCGGCGCCTATCTCGTATGTGGCTTTTGGGCCGGGATCCGCAGGTGACGACTTTGCCGTATTACTTTGCGACTCGACTGTGCAGCTTTTCAAGAGCGGAAGCGTGTCAAAGCCGGTCAGAGTTCCGACACACATGGGCTCGTTTCTACTGGCAGTAGACTCTCAAACGGTGACATATCGCCAGTTAGTGTGGATGACGGAATCGCATGTGGCCGCTATCGCTTATAACGAGGATACAGGCACAGATTCCGTCGTGATCCTGTCGCTTGACGCGGCGAGTGCTCCTGCCGCTGTAGACGACAATTCGGCGTTATTAAGCATCTCCGTAGCCGGCCGTCGCGAGATCTGTTTTGCGCGCGACTCAAGTGCTCGCACTTTATCGCGATTGCAGTATAGCATTCCGCTCGGGATTTTATACGCGCAAGCAGTTGACGGCCAGATCGCCGAGATTGATATTGCTGATGGAGCAGCAACCTTGGAAATGCGCGCGGCTCTGCCAACGATGTGCCCTTGGGTCACGGTTGTGGATTTTGCCTCGCAAAAAGCGGACGACTCACAACGCGACCGCGTTTACGTCGGCCTCAGTGAGCGCAACAAGCTGTATGCCAATACGGTTCTGATCGCCGCGGACTGTACCTCTTTTTACCTCCACAACGACTTTATGATTTTCACTACTTTCACTCACGCCGCCCGCTTCGTCAGCCTTAATTGTCCGGCGTCTGACTTCAAAATTACCGACGCATCTGCATCCGCATCTCCCTTTGACGAACATTTCCGCCGCGTTGAACGGGGTTCGAAGATCGTCGTCGCGGTTCCCAATGACACATCGCTCGTGTTGCAAATGCCTCGAGGCAACTTGGAGACTGTTTACCCACGGGCGCTGGTCCTCGCGGTCGTTCGCCGCGCGATCGTCAGCGTGGATTACCGCACGGCGTTTATACTGTGCAGAAAGCATCGGATCGATATGAACTTTTTGGTCGATTGCGATCGAGCTGGATTCGAGAAAAACACGGAGCAGTTTGTGCGGGACGTTGCGGATCCCGATTACCTCAATTTGTTCATCTCGAGCTTGCGGGATCAGGACGTGACAGTGACCATGTATGCGGGAATGAAGAACACAACTACCGCGACAACGGCTCCGATATTGCCAACAGGAACACAGCAGCCGCCCTCGCAGCTCTCGTCATACGCGCTCAAAAAGCTCGGACGTGTGGATGGCAAGGTCAATGCTATTTGTGATCTGTTCCGGACGGCATTGGAGGCAGTTGACGCTCCACGCTACGTGCACTCGATCTTGACCACCGACGTCAAGAAGACACCTCCAGATCTGGAAACGGCCATGCGTCGCATTCTTACGATCAAAAGCAGCGGTGCGGCCGATGCCGCAGACGCTGCGCTCAAATACGTCATTTTCCTTGCTGATGTGGACAAACTATACGACGTTGCGCTAGGGATGTATGATTTCCCTCTCGCACTCATGGTCGCACAACATAGTCAGAAGGATCCCCGTGAGTACCTGCCATTTTTGTCTGAACTGCAAAAGCTGGAGCCGAACTACCAGCGT